GGCCGGGAGCGGCCACTGCACTCCAGTCTGGGTGACTGAGTGAGACTCCCAATTCAAAAAAAAAAAAGAAATGTGTTGGTCAGAGCTTTGTTAAACTCTGGTGTGTCCACATGGCTCATGTTTCCTAGTTTTGGCCCCCTCCCCTACCTTAGAGAGGTGAATTTCCTCTCTCTCTAATTTACTTTCTAAATAAACTATATTTTCCAATCTGAAAAAAAAAGAAATGTGTTTGCCTATTACCTGCCATCAAGTGTCATAACTCCTTCCTGAAGCCGGATCCCAGGAAAGAGGCAGTCAAAGCCTGAGGAGGAGGTGAGTGAATAATTTCTGTGGAACAGGAAATAAAGTCCCTTTTTTTTTGAGTCGGAGTCTCACTCTGTCACCCATGCATGAGTGCAGTGGCAAGCTCACAGCCACCACAGTCTCGACCTGCTTGTCTCAGGAAATCCTTCTGCCTCAATATTCCAAGTAGCTGGAACCACAAGTGTGTGCCACCACGCCCGGTTAATTATTATTATTATTTTTTTAGTTGGAGTCTCACTCTGTTGCCCAGGCTGGAGTGCAGTGGCAGCCTCACAGCTAGCACAGCCTTGACCTGCTGGGTTCAGGCAATCCTTCTGTCTCAGTCTTCCAAGTAGCTGAAACCACAAGCACGTGCCACGACACCATGTTAATTTTTTGATTTGTTGTAGAGAAGAGGTCTTGTCAAGTTGTCTGGGCTGATCTCGAGACCCTGGACTCAGGCAATCCACTCGCCTCAGCCTCCCAAAGTGCTGAGATTACAGGTTTGAGTCACTGCGCCTGGTCCTAATTCTCTTTCTAAAGGCTTCCTGACCAAGAGAGGAGTTTCAGGGAGAGAAAATAGAATTTGAGTAAATAGATGAGTACCCTCATCTCCACCAGCAGAAGGAGGAGCTTGAGGACTATCATTCCCAAGGTTACACACCTCACTTCTTCTACCTCCTGGTTGCCAAAGAAAGGTGCTGAATGGCTTTGGACAGTACATTTACGTTACTGTCACTGCTGTGACAGGCAGATTACAAACCTCTGAATCATCCTTGAACTTCTGCCTCCTAGGTCCTCCCCCAGCCCTGGAGGTGTGGCAGTTGGGCTTTTGCTTCTGGTTGCATGTCACCTGTAGAGTCACCCCACTGGAATAGCAGCTATCAGGTGAATCAGGCAGTCACCTCACTCAATAGGTCAGCTCCTTTGTGGGGAGATGGAGCAAGCTACTTCCAAAGACAAGGGCCAAGCCAGGCTCGGGGGCTCAGCCTGTAATCCCGCGCTTTGGGAGGCTGAGGTGAGTGGATTGCCTGAGCCCCGTGGGTCTGAGACCCACCCGGGCAACTTGGCGAGACCTCATCTCTACAATAAATCAAAAATTAGCCGGGCGTGGTAGTGCACACCTGTAGCTCCAGCTATTTGGAAGGTTGAGGCGGAAGGATTGCTGGACCCCAGCAGGTCGAGGCTGCGGTGGCCAGGAGCAGTCACTGCACTCCAGTCTGGGTGACGGAGTGAGACTCCAACTCAAAAAAAAAAACAAAGACAAGGGCCTGCCTGGCTCACACTTGCCTGACAGCCAGTATTCTCTACAGGGTGGGGTGGGGGGGTATCAGAATCACTAAGAGGCTCTTTCAAACCTCATATGCGGCCATCCTACAAGAACTCTTCTAGTGAGTCTGCTGTTACTGATACAAGTGGGTTGTAGCTCTTAAATGTGCTAGCACAGAAAACCATAAAAATTAAAAGAACCTGTACATTTAAGGGCGAAAAGAGGAGAAGAACTTAGTACATGTAGGAAATTCTGCCAAAGACTTGACTATAATACTTAAGGTATTTCTGGGATAGTGTATTCCTGGAATAGGGTATTGGCCAAATCACTTACAAAATATCAATTAACTACTTTCTCCTAATTCTGCGAAGAGAGTCCTACTGGATAGCCACGTACTCAACAATGTGGTTATTTTCCTCTTACTGCACTTAGCCTATTATCATCACTGGTCCACATCAAAGACCCCCACTCTACAGGAGAGAAGCCAAATTTTCTTTTATTCTCCATCCTAGGTACATCCAGAGTATGTCCTACCACATCTCCACACAATCAACATTAACACTTTCAGAAAGATGCTCCTTATTTTATTTTATTCTTTTTTTGAATCAGAGTCTCACTCTGTTACCTAGGCTAGAGTGTAGTGGCACACTCACAGCCCCGCAGGCTCGACCTGCTGGCCTCAGGTGATCCTTCCACCTCAGACTTCCAAGTAGCTGGAACTACAGGTGAGCACCACCACACCCAACTAATTTTTCTATTTACTGTAGAGATGAGGTCTTGGTAAGTTGCCCAGGCTGGTCTCAAACCCATGGGCTCAGGTAATCCCCTTGCCTTGTCCTCTCAAAGCGTTGGGATAATAGGCGTGACCCACCACACTGGTCAAGATGTTATTCTAAGCCGGGCTTCGTGGCTCAGCCTGTAATCCCATGCCTTGAGAGGCTGAGGTGAGTGGATTGCCTGAGCCCGCGGGTTCGAGACCTGCCTGGGCAACCTGACAGACTTCATTAATTAGCCGGGCGTGGTAGCGCGCGCGCCTGTAGTTCCAGCTACTTGGAAGGCTGAGGTGGAAGGACTGCTGGAGCCCAGCAGGTTGAGGCTGCGGTGACTGGGAGCGGCCATTGCACTCCAGTTTGGGTGACAGAGTGAGACTTCAACTCAAAAAAAAAAAAAAGAAAAGATGTTATTCTAATAAGGCCCTCATCCTTTATTAACCAAAGACCAAGGCTTGCCAAACTAGCAAGACTGACTTAGCTGATGGAGCAAACACACACTAATAACCGGCAGAAAAAAAAAATCTCACTCACTTCTGCTAGAAGTTTTCACAAGTTTTAGCTTGTAACACTTTGCTACAGAGACTTCCAATGCAGAAGGAACACCTTGCATTAAGAGAAAACAAGGCCAGGCTGGGTGGCTTAGCCTGTAATCCCAGAACTTTGGGAGGCTGAGGTGGATGGATTATCTGAGCCCATGGGTTCGGGATCAGCCTGGGCAACCTGATGAGACATCATCTCTACAATAAAACAAAACTAAACAAAACAAAAAATTAGCTGGGCATGGTGGTACACGCCTGTGGTTCCAGCTACTTGGAAGGCTGAGGCAGAGGGATCGAGGTTGGGATGGTGTGAGTGTGCCACTGCACTCCAGCCTGGGCGACAGAGCAAGACTCTAACTCAAAAAAAAAAAAAAGAGAGAGAAAACAAACATGCATAGGACAAAGGCTCCTCTCTCCCCAGAACCAGGTCAGAGAACTAAAGCCATTTAATGTCTGTGTTTCACAATGGTGATACTGGAAGTTGGCCCGTGCAATTTGGATAGGTCGCTTAAGAGACTAAGCAAAGTAATCTATAGATTTCATATTTGACCTTCTTCATACTCACAGGAATTTCCTTAATAATTCTACACAATTGTCATTTTCCAATAGTCTCTTGCCTAAAGGTTCACTGGTCATTAGTCAGGAAAACTGCAAAAGACACCATTCCAGCTTCAGAAAATAATCAAGAGTCCTAAATTTTTCTTTCAGTAGAAACCTTTACCATTCTTTAATTCCATCAGTATTTATTTATTTATTTATTTAGAGTTGGAGTCTCTCTCCATCGCCCAGACTGGAGTGCAATGGCCGCTCCCGGCCACTGCAGCCTCGACCTGCTGGGGTTCCGGCGATCCTTCCACCTCAGCCTTCCAAGTAGCTGGAACTACAGGTGCGCGCTACCATGCTCTGCTAATTTTTGATTTATTGTAGAGATGAGGTCTCGCCAAGTTGCCTAGGCGGGTCTCGAACTCATGGGCTCAAGCAATCCACTCACCTCAGCCTCCCAAAGCGCGGGATTACAGGCTGAGCCACCGAGCCCGGCTAATAAGTATTTATTAAACACCTATTTTTTATGTGTACACTAAGTGTACACTAGTGAATAAGCGATATAGGACCTGTCATCATAATACTTTCTCAGGAATTAGAAACAATTCCCTCACTTTTGCTAGGAGTTCTCACAAGTTTTAGCTCGTAACACTTTGCTCCAGAGACTTACAAGAAATTTTTCCTAAAGTATTTGGGAAAAAAAGGCCTAGGAAGAAAAACCTAGAGAAAACAGCCTAAAGCACACTACAGCTTAGAACAGTCACCTTTGAAGTAGATTTTTAAAATAATAATCCAAAAAACAATGCCCACTCAAAGTTTCCTATAATGCATCCAATAAAGTTGCAAGCAAAAAGGCCGGCATGTGGTTTTACTGGCCTAACACTTTGGTTCTGGGTCTGCCAAGTATCTTCAGTCTCTGACAATCAACTGAGGTCACTGAAAAATACGAGTTTACAGATTCCACCCCATCTCTGCTGAATCATAACTTGAAGACAGGATCTGGGAGTCTGCAACATGAACGAGCATTACAAGAGATGATGCCCACTGTGAGCTTACTGACCTTTTAAAATGATATTATGAGGCCAGCCTGGGCAACAGAGTGAGACCTTGACTCAAAGAAAAAGAAATGGTATCATGTTAACAGAAACACAGAGGCCTACGGAGTATGGGCAGCTGAAGGAAGAACTGAAAGATAGATGCTAAGAAAGATCTACTGCTAAAGTTGCCCCACTACTGTTTTAAATTTCACACTTTACCAACTCCATCACATAAAGCACTGACAGGAGGAATTACTGTCTGCCTTCAGGATTCCTGCCTGAGGAATCCAAGGGGCAGCAGAAAGGAAACCAGACTTGGTGGATCTCTCTTCCCTTCTCTGATTGTCTACTTCACTGCTGACCACCAAATTGTCCTTGCTGACTCCCCAAGCTCATGCATTCATTCACCTGCTACCAACCAAAAGGGCACTAAGACGAACAAATGCAATCATCACACCACTAGCACCTGATAAGGATTTCTGCACCCACCCCCATCTTCAGTCTATCTAGAAAGTATCAGGGAATTTTCATTACTTTGGGTAGGCTGATAATCAGTCATCTGAGCCCTTCCTTGTCTTTAAAAATTTGGGGCCAGTCAGGCTTGGTGGCTTAGCCTGTAATCCCAGCACTTTGGGAGGCCGAGGAGAGTGGATAGTCTGAGCCTGCAGGTTTGAGACCAGCCCGGGCAACTTGGCAAGACCTCGTCTCTACAATAAATCAAAAATTAGTTGGGTGTGGTAGCACATGCCTGTAGTTCCGGCTACTTGGAAGGCTGAGGCAGAAGGATCGCCCGAGCCCAGCAGTTCGACGCTGGGGTGGCCGTGAGCATGCCACTGCACTCTAGCCTGGCTGACAGAGTGGGACTCCAACTCAAAAAAAAAA